CGCGTGTGGACATACGCACATAACCGCCACAAAATTTTACTAAAATAAAAAAGCGGCAATGCATATTATATGGGATGAGATGGCGGAACATTCGATTTTAAAAAATTGTTATAACACATTTCTTTTCGAGTTGATGAAATAAATAAGTACTTCATATGTATAATTTTAAAATAGACATTTTCTCACATGGCAATGTGTCATAGTCATCTTGACACGTTAAGATTCGTGTCTACTGCGAGTGCAGAAAACTTTGTCAAGTTCAAAAACATATACTATTATTTCCTTAACTAATAAACATAACAATAGTTTATTAACTACCCTACCGCGGTTTAGCCATCTCTGCCTTCACAGATTCACTCTCATAAAAATCATGTCATTAAAGAAACGAAGCGAAAAAGACATTGCGTCTCTCTCGCGTTACTTAGGATAGCATATGCGAGAGGGACAGAATGTCTTTCGTCGTCATTTGCGATTTTTTTTTATTGGCGCGAGTTATAGCAGTCTACACATTGAAACTTGGATTTACGGAGATGCTTGGAAGGCCGCTGGCTGCCAGCAGCTGAGGAAATATGAATCTAAATCACCCCATTTCATTACTTTGAGATGATGATTTATCTCTCGACATAGTTTACTTAAAATACGTTAATTAATTGAAATTAAAATAAAGTATCATTAAATCCAAAATATATATCATTATCAAAATTAACAGTGCTAAGTAACTTAGTTTACAATTCAAAATATCTATGTATAACACATACAAAGGCAACATTCAAACTAAATCTATATATGATTATGAATTCATAAATTTTAAACTAACAAACATCCAATGGCAATGACAATCTGTGTACAATTTATTTTATTAAACTACATTATTACATAATATACATATCGCCGTATGCGGCTACAATTTTCATTTCTCTCTTACACATTTAATAATAACAATAATAAAAAAGAAAAAATAACTTACAAGCACGATAAATAAATATAAGCTTCCATCACAACAATGCACCGATAAAAATAATAAAATCACAGATCTCGATATTATGCTATATATAGGAAGTGAAAGTAAACATTTCCCAGTTGACGTGAATAAAGTATTTCCACATTCGGAATTTGGAACGTTGTACAGATCCTAGCAGTTTCCGCACCAGCCATTATTAATAGCTTGCGCTTTTTACCCAAAATAAAACCTCAAGACTTCAATAAGAATGATGACGTGAGAGTTGGTCCAGTGGAACTTACAATTCTCCCGACGTAGTCTGGCCAGTATGAACTAAGACTTGGAATCGCAGTTGGCAATTTTATTTAAAATATCAAATGCCTCCGACTCAGTAAGGTGAAACAATACAAAATTATATGTCCGAACTTGAGAATTACCATTGCAATACTGAAAATATTCAAATAAACATACATGTACGCAACCTTCACACTTGGAAAACAAACTAGCCAAATTAGAAAGTGATTTCTTTTGTATCGTTTACTAATAATGCTCATTTATGCGCCTACTAGCAGCCGCCCGCTACTTCGTCCACGTTAAGTTTAGTTTTTTTGAAAATCCCTCAGGAACCTGACACTTTTCCGAGGTAAAAAGTATCATATGTCTCTAACCAGGTCACAAACTATATGTGCGCCGAATTTTATCAAAATCCGATCAGTGGTTTTTGCGTGATGAGTAGGTAACAAAAAACACACAAATATACAAACTCACATTTATAATATAAGTAGGATATCATGATTTTATTTAAATGCATACTCAAATAAATAAGTTGCCGAAATGAGAACCAATTTCATTTAAATAAGCTAATACATATTTCATTTACATGAAATTGGTTAGTAGATTTAGCTTTAATAATTTTTTTCTCGTTAAAGAAAGAATAAATGCAGATAAATAAGACAAATAAATGTCTATATGAGTATATTGATGGATCTTATAATAATGTCTTAATACGCTTCAAGACTGGTAAGCTTTCGTATACGTTAATTTAAACCGTGAAATATCCTTTCATCGCCTGACAATAATTGATTAAGTACAGCGCTTGTTCTCTTTAGCCTACTTGCACCAAAGATATTAAATTAAATAAAAACAAAATATTTTTTGCCTCATTCGATGTCTTTTCGATTCAAATACTTCACAAGTAACGAGCGAAACTGGATTGAGCTTATACATATTTTAATTATTTACGAATATTGGTGCACGATACATCGATTACTCTCTTTCACCTTGCAGTCCCTCAATAACGTCCAAAATGTTTAACAATATTATACTTAGTAATAAATATGCCTTGACACATTATTGCTTTAGGAATTCGAACAATGCAGTGACTAGACTAAGTTATGTTATGCTACTAAGAAAAATATTACACACGGTGACTGTCCGCGAAGGATATGATGCTACGGACTTAACTTAGATTTTGAAGATGATAACTTTGAAATTGAAAATTAAATTATCTCTGCCTTTGAAAACCCCTTAAGTTTGTCGTTAGTAATTATCTTTCAAATTATAAATTCAAAGGTGTCGTAATAAGAATTGAAATAAGGCAATCGCTACCTCTGATATGAAACTTGCTATAACCATTTTCTAAAGCAATCGACCATGTCTGCACAACTAAATGCAAGTGCTGAAACATATTTTTAAATTAACAAATCTTTTTAATTTTTATTTGCTAAATAATAACTGTTTTGTTTACATATTTTCAGATAATATTATCCTAGTACAGGCAGTCCTCGTACTTACGGTATGTTAGTTTCTCGAAATACGCGATGTGAATCGAAACGACGTAAGTCGAGACATCCCCACGGACGCCGGCCCCACGGACATTGACATCGCGACAAGTGAATTCTCCTATGCCGGAAATTGAAACAATTGACGTATGCTTGAGGAATAGTGTCAAAACATTATTCGGCGTAACCTCAGACCAAATAAAAAGTAAAGACGGAGTCTGCCGAACAAAAAAGTGAAGCCGGTTTTTTATGTATGTAGTGCATTAGCCAGTGTTACCATAGTCATTTATAATACCCCAATATTAGAAAAATGTATTAACGTTATTTCATAACGTTATAAAATATTGGAAAAAAATATCGTAGGCTTATTCTCTAAACTGTAACATTAGTTTTACACTAGCGCTAGATGCAACCTCTCGTGAGCAAAAGGTCCTGCGCTTGGAGATCTGGGGTTCCTGTGATTTATAAGTTTAATAACTGTTACACTAATAAAAGTTTAGTTAAAAAATATAAAATAAAAACAAAGCTTAACCTTTGGAGTTTTTGGCGGGATTTCATGGAGTGCGGTTAGCGTCATATTTTAATTATTCTTTAATTCGTTCATAGTGAATATTGTGAAATAAAATTGGTATAATTTTGTGTTTCAACCGTCTGCACGACTGAAGAATTATTGGAATCTTTAAAATATAAATTAACCTAAGTAACCATATTAAGTTAAGTAAAAAAAATACCTTTGGATATGCATTTTGTTTTACACGACGTAACCCTTTTGTTGTGTAGTACAAATCGTCGCTCTGAAATGAGTCGAACAAACCACGCTGTGGGAAGCTGGTTGTCACAATGGTTCATTTCTACTCTTATGAAAGACTGCAATCCACTTCTCTTTTAGATTTTGATCTCGATTAGGAAATCGTAAAAAAACGTATAATATGTATAATGTGTATTACATCCCAAAAAATTTATACGAATACATAAAGAAAAAAGATAATAAAGATGTTTCGTGTAATTGTTTATCCATGCATTACAATATTCGAATAATATAAAAGTATGCTACACAATGTAGTTAATAAAATAACGTTATGTTATGTTTCACGCTACCCAACAAAAGGGTAAAACTGTAACGTATAATCATGGTAGCATTTCGTTCAGGTTTTGTTTACAAAGCGACAACCTCAAATTTAATTTTGTTTAATTGAAAATATTAGTTTATAACTTTACTTACGTATGAAATGTGATTCCATCCTGTTTTTTATTTTTGGAAGATTAGTTTCTACACGTTTTCACTACACAATTCGGCATTTTCTCTAATAAATATTGTTATTTATTATTACGTCACAATCCACGCGCCGGGATAATTCGACTGGGAAGCCAAGGCGTAGTTTTGTTGCATGTGTGTGCGTGTAACTGTGTATGTACACGGCGAGGCGTAGTTTTATCGGCTTCACTTTTTTGTTCGGCAGACTCCGTCTTTACTTTTTATTTGGTGTGAGGGCGTAACTTGAAACGACGTAAATCGAAACGACGTAAGTCGAGAACTGCCTGTATTGTAAATGCATTACAATATATTTAATGTCCATTCCGCATTAACTTATATTTTCGTGAACAGTCACATTCTACTTTTCTCTATCAAACAACATGGTTAGTTGAATGCAAAAATATGTTCCCATTTCTCGCATCTCGATTTGTCTTATTCTATTTACAATTTGAGTGGTATCTACATATTTCTGCATTCAACTGTACATATCTATAAAAGAGTTTGAAATTACAGCATTAAATCTTGCCATTAACCATTATTAAGCTAGAGAAACTATAACGATAGATTAAATCGAAGAGTTAGCGTCAAAAATTTTCGTTTCATACAATGTCCCCTAAGTAGAAGGTCTTATCTAGCGTAAACTCGAAAATTTAGCTTATTAGTATCACAAACAAAGACAAATAATACGATATTTTTTATTTTCCGATCGCCATTGCCCATAGTTATATTATGCATACGTGCATTTCGCATTGTGCCACTTATTACTCCGATACTCTCTACACTCGATTCATATTGTTATAAGCTTCGCCAGACGTTATCCACGGGTAATGTATAACAAATTATACAAAAGAAGTCTTCTATACAAAAAAATCAAAGTTAATGAAAAATTATATTCACCATCATGATGGTTTTGAGTGTTTTCAAGCCGGTTTCGGTTTCTGTTTCGGAAAGTGTATCTCAGAATAATTCCAAGTTATCATGAATATTGAATTCGAATTGGATAATAGACAGAGAAATTGTTGAATTAGCATAATCCATCTTCATCGTCGGCTTTCTTCTCTTCGTATGTCACTGGCTCGTACGGAGACTCTTCTTCTTGATTGTTCTGTTGTGATACATACATATGAGAATATTAAATTAAATATAAATAGGAATTGTTATAAAGTAAAAGCAGGTATATAAGTAAATCGTAGGCAAAATCTGTAAATCTATTACAGAATAAAATACTCAAGAAAGAAATTGCAGAGTTTTTAAATACAAGAACTTTTGGGACTATGATTAAATTTGTCTGGCTATAAAATGGAGAAAGTGTTATATATGGAGGCTATATTATCGGTGAAGATACTTCTATTCCTAAATTACATTGAACAAACTCACCGCTGCATTGGAAGCGTTGGCAGTATTAGCGCTGACGTAAGATGGCGCCGCATTCTCCCTTACATTCGCTTTGGGCGCGGGTTCAATGCCCTCTGGCAAAGGCACTGTTTTAGCCAGTCTCGCGTATTCCACGTCCATGCTCCTTATAAACGGTGAAGCGAGAGCACGCCTTGCCCCTTCGCGATCTTCCTCGTCGTAAGCCTGAAGAAGCTGCTCGAGAGTTGACATTTCGGCTGCTTCGCAGTTGTTACCCCATTCCTGTGGTAGTATTTAAATTTAAATAACACTAGCTGACCTAGAGAACTTCGTACCCCTACAAAAATAGTGGTTGGTGGAAGAAGAGGTCGAAAAATGAAAATAAATACAGAATTTTGACCAAATAATATAAAAATCTTATATTATTATGTTTAATACTAGCATGTGTCGATTCCATTGCTATTGACGCTTGCGCTGCCCATTCAAAAAGCGATTTCATGAGGTTACCAAAAAGACATCTATTGTCGTCTCTCTCACTCCCATTACTTCTCACTCATCTCTCTTGTCATTCAGTTAGTTGAATTCGAAAACAATACGATGCAATAATGTAAACACAGATTTTACTTGATTTTTTTACAGTAGTATTTTGGCGAGTACTTTATAGCAACTCAAACGGCAATGGTGTGGCTGGATGTAAATGGTAATATACGATATTTTCGAAAATATAATAAAACACAGCTACAAAAAGTTTCAGGGTCTAATTTGACATTTACTATTTCCGATTTGCCCTTTACAACCAAAGTTAGTCTCAATGTATATGTTACATTGACACTAACTTTGGCTTTTAAGCTTATCTGTTTCCCAAATATGAAATGAAAAGGGGCAGGAAAACCAGTAAAGCTACTATACACAATTCGTCCCCAGAATTAATTAGACTATGAATAAAAAAGAGGTTATCATGTCTATAATAAAGCATCGCTCTGACACTGCAACAGTATAGTTAAACTCCTCCGTGGCCGAGTGGTCTGTACGCCGGGTTTAAAGGTGCCGCCAACACGAATCCCGGTGGGGGCAGTTGTTTGTGTGATGAATACGAGTATTTTCAACTCCAGTCAAAGTCAAAATTTCTTTATTCATTTAGGTACAATTTGCACACTTATGAAAGTCAAATTTGATGCCATCGGTTCAAGAGTCTACCAGAAGGCCTTGCCTGAGAAGAACCGGCAAGACACTCAGCAAGTTTTGTCCTCCCTTTACATTTTCTATTTGTTTTTATTTGGAAGGAGTCATAATCCACATCAGGCCTTTAATAATTTAATTAATTTTAAAAATATAAATAAAGGACGTGGAAAAAATTTGTATGAGCGACTGCCCTAGCAATGTATAAATGGGTGAATATACGCTATTGGGAATTTTCTTGGCCCACTTGAAAAAATCTTACCATTTGATTTCAAATTCATTATTTGATGAGGAAATTAACTGTTTTATTGGTATTTTTAAGGGCCAGAAGATATTGAATGGTTTTACAGGTATATGGCTTCCAGGGGAAAATTCAGTGTCAGGGGTGTGACATTACTGACAGAGTAGTGACAAATACAACCAAGGAAATGACTGGCTAGTAACAATTAGTTAGGAAACACATTTAGATACATTGAAAAGAAAGACGGATTAATTGTTTTTTAATTATTTTTATTAAGTTTTAACTTCAATCAGTCTTTTGCATTAGAAAATGTTTTCTTTTAATAAAATTAGTAGCATGATATTATATCCCTAGTATTAGAACAAATAAAAATATGTTTTCTTAAGAAATTTTACTTATCAGTCTTTTCCGACATAATATTAATAGTACTTAAGTACCTATTCTTATAATCACAGTAATTGTTTGGAGATCGCTATAATAAAAACTCTACTTATAAATAAAACCTCACTGAATGTAATTATATAATCAACAAATAAACCCTATCTTACAGCAAAACTTAAAAATCCTTTTCCTTACAACAAAATAACAAAATATTATTTCTTTAAATTTTAATGAGGTTCATAACTTCAAACTGCTCTAAAACTAATTACAAATTACTTTTCAAAAACATCAACAGGCTTTTGAAACTTGTAAAACATTCTGTTACCTTTCATTACTATGTTTGGAACAGGTAATATTGTTAAAATTTCTTCCCATATGACATCAGATACATCGTTATCATCTATTTTAAAAAGAGTACCTTTATCATTACAGATCTTTAGAAAAGTAACACGAATATCATCTTCATCATCATTAAAATCAGATAAACATACACCAGAATATCTGTATTTTTTGCCATTTATCTCATATTTTACAAGCACAAAATCTCCGTTCTTAACAACTTTTGCATCACTATTTTTTACTTTCTTCTCATTATCATTCTTTGTCCGTTCTATATTTTCTTCCAGTTGATTTTGGATAACTTCACAAAATAATAATGTCCTTTTTACTTGTTCTACGTTTTCTTTACTGTTGCTCTTTAAATGTTCATTAACCTTCGAGTTTGGGATCATTTTATTTTTTTGGATACGCCTTAGCTTCTGTTGATAATCATGTACCTTTTGACGTCATCTTCTTATTTCATTTTTCTGTTTATTAATAACTCTATTCCTTTGTTTACGTTGCCTTTCTGATCGTCTTTTATCAGCTAATGCCACATCATTCTGTGGAATTAGAGGTTGTTCTTCATTATCAGACGAAGGCGGTGTTATCGGACAATTTCTAGAAGATTGTTGCTTTATGCGATGTCTATGCTTTCTAGTCTTCTCTCTCCATGTTTTTCTAATAGCCCTTTGCTCTCTTTCATATCCTTCATGATTTTAATTTGTCCTTTCTCCTTTTTTTAAAATAATTAAGCTTTTCTTGGTCTTTTAACTTAGCATTTTTACTGGATCACTTTTCATTCTTTGATAGCGCAATCTTTCAGCCTGACGCTTTTTTTCAAGCCTTTCTTCTCTTGTTTGCTTTTTTTTCGCGTTCGCCATGATGTCGTCGCGTAAGTAAAACCTACAGCAAACTAAAACAAATGAAACTAAAAGTTAAATCAATTTGTTATTTAAATCAAATCATTTAATTTAATTTTCGTCACTACCCTGGTTCGTTTGTATTTCCCCTGGCATTAAAACTGCCAGAGAAGTGACGCCAGTGGGGTGACAAAATAACATATAACCTAAAAAATATACACAATGCAATCTTTATACTGAAATAATACGAAATACAGGCCATCTACTCATTTGTAACAATACATTGAATAATTAATGTCGAACATAATAGTGAAATATAAAAATATACACTCACCAGGGGAAATTCTGCAACGACTGGCACAAACACGTTGTTCACCGGTGAATCGGGCACTGACGTAACATTATTTCAAATTTGGACGACGCCATTGGCTTGTACCTAACTTCACTCTGTCCGACGCGCGTTACTCAAGACCAATGAAGCGTGTACGCGGTTTTTGAGGGAAATTTTGAAATTCAAATTGAGCCAGAGAAGGTGACACTTTTTTAGGCGTCGGAAAAAGATGTTTTTTTAAACTAATAATTATTTTGTTTTATTCTGTTTTTTAAAAACAAATATTTTGTGTTGTTTGTTTAGTTACAATATTACATTTCAAAAAACTATGTACTGGTCAAATTATAAAAAATATTCCGATAATTATTGTAAAATGTATGTATGGGGCCAGCCAGGGGAGTATACATTTAGTACTATTTTCCCTTATTGTAAACAAAATGATTAGGTTTCTTAATAGAATACCATGTGGAACAAATAAAATACACTATTATGTATTAATTAACATATAAAATAACAACAATTTGATTAATTTAATATTTTTTTATTCAAAGGCCATCAAAGGACCCAATACCGTATAATGACCCAAATATTGTACTTATAATATTATAGTAATATTTAATTCTGAATGGCTGAATATTTATAATTTCTATGGAAAAAGGCTCAGGAACTTTTCATAAAGTTACAATTTCGAAAATTATAAAAACTCCTACTATGTCATTACCTTGCTACATTTGAGTAAACATTTTGCCAATCATTAACAGAGCCATCAATTTCGCATTTTCTAAGAATCTTTTCTTCCATTTCTCTGATAAACACTTCACAAAATGTATTTTTAAAGCTAAAATAAATACAAATAATTGCTGTCGTCGGTCTGACAGTAAATCTGTGAAGTTTTATTTTGTTCATTTATAAAAATCAAAGGAATAATTTATCATATAGCCTTGTCTCAAGCTTGATCTGCAAATATAATCTAATATTTTAAGCCTTCAATGATTTGTTATACAAGAGACAATGAGCGCCAAATATGTTATAGTTTTTAGGAGTTTGGAATTAATATTGTTTATTTCGATAAACTTACACAAACATTTATAGTGTACTTAAATTGTTTATTTATAATTTTAAAACGGAATATTTTCCTTTAGATACAGACATCCAAGTCGATTTTTATACTTTTAAATATTTATTTATTTCACGAAAGTTGTATGAGAATAATAAATACGTAATAATTAATAAACAAATATTATATTGTTACCAGCTAAGCGTAATAATTATACACGTTAAGGGCAGTTTCTTAGCCATGTCCTTTAAGACCAGTAGTTATTACGAAATAAGAAAAGATGATGATGAAGAAGTCATGGATGTTTAATGTGTATTTCTATATAAGTATACTTGTATAATTGTATCAGTATATGTATTCTATGTATTTATTTATTTACTCTTTATTGTAATTTACAACAAATGGCGGACTTAATGCCACATTCTATCCGTTACCATAGTGTCCCATAACACAAGACTAAAGTGCTTACTTTGGGGCTAATTGGTGTGAATTCTAAAAATTCTAGATAAATATTGTACAGAATAAGGATAACCCAGATTTGAAATATTAGTAAATGTCTTAGTTCAATAATAAATGGAACTACAAGCTCTGAAAAAATAACAAGGCGTATTTAGTATACATGCAGTTTAATCAAAATTACGAACCTTGTAAGCCTTTTCGGCAGCCACCGGGTCTCCGCGCGCGAGTTGGACTAATACAATGGCTACTGTGAGTCTTCCAATAGCTCCGGTGTTGCCAGATTCCTGGTGAAATCCAATTTCACGGCGCAGGCTGTCCACTGCTTCATCGTACCTTGAAAAAGAAACCAGTAGCAACATTTTCCATTTGTAATGTATGCAACTTTAACAAATTGTTTTGTTTCCGCCTTCATGGTCACTAAAATTACAGTAATTAGTGGAATTGCCACCATGTACCTTGTTTATTGTGAGTCCCTGATATTTCAGAACTATTGCAAGTGCTATGATCACGGAGTGAAGGATCAATTCCAACAGTGCCCTTATATCTGGGATTCACAAAAAAGGTATACATGGTGGCCATCCCATTAAATTTATTCTTTATACCTCTGAAGTTTCACAAGGATCCGTGATGACTTGCTGATATACTCTGAGCCTTGATGCTGGTAACTCTCTGTCTGTCAAAACAGTATTGATTATGTTACAACCCAAATAAACAAAAAATGTGTCTTATAATTCAAAAGCTTTAAGTTTACTTACAGATGACACATCTGCTGCTTGCTGGAATAACAGCACTGCTTTTTCAGGATAATTTTCTTCTAATATCTTTGCAGCTTTATCAAGGACACTCGCACCAGAGTCCCCTGAACCATATTGCTGATAAAGACTTGAAGATTCTACCGCCAAAGAATATATCTGTTTGGGAAGATCACTATATAAATTGATATACACACTAAAATAGATAATAATAAAATTTTGAGTAAAAAATGTATTTTAAATGGTTTAAAAATGGAGTTCATCCATTGCAAATATCCATTTTCCATCCATTGTATTGAATGACATTTCAAAATAGCAATATATCTAATTGACTTTTCTAAAAATTTATGATGTATGTTGAATTTTAAGTGGTGGATAAAAACTTTGATTTTTTTGTTCCTGTATGAATCTTCCAACGTAAGACATAGTTCAAGTTTCATCAAAATCGGTTTAATTATACTCAGGATTTAAGATATATAGTAGAGTAGCGGAAAACCGTCTTAAGTGACTTAAAAACGAAACAAAAATATTATGAAGCACCCATGGGGTGGCGCATGGGTCACAATAATAATATTATTTAATAAGCCTACTTAACTCATCAGCAGGAGCAGTCTCTTTGGTGATGAGGATAATGTTCTCTAAGGCCTTTGCAGCATGGAAGAATGCACGAATCTTCTTGTAATATTCTGAGGCTTTCAAATGGCACTCCTTGGAATTATTTATGTCACGGGCTATACGATAACATTGAGCTGAAATGTACAAATTAAGAACTGTTTAAAACAGCAACATGGCAGGACAACATTTTCTACTATTATTATAAATGTGGAAGTTAATATGTTTGTTAACGCAAAAACTACTGAATGGATTTTGATAAAATAGGATACTTTTTATCCCAGAGAAAAGTTAGGTTCTTGTCGGATTCTCAAAAATAAAGTTAACGTGGATGAAGTTGTAGGTGGTGGCTTGTATTTAATATAGATTATTAATATATAGGTTAAAATATTGGTGTTCTGCTACTATAAAGCAAGATATTAATTTGTAAAATAAAAGATGCAGAAAGAGCAAGATCACTGTGTCTAGAGATCTATACAGCAGTCCAGCAAACTTTAATGAAAAGAAGAAGTAGACACCAGCTTTTTTATTGCATGATTGGATTTAAACAACAATAAAATTTATGTAAAAGTCAAAGTAAGGTATTAATATAAAACGCACCTGCTTGACTGTATTCATCAGCAGCCAAATCATAATCTGGCTTCCAACGCAGCAATGATGTTTTTAAACTAAAAACAAAAATAAATCATGTTATTGTCTTTTAGATATTCAAGCAATCATAAAATCAACTGTTTAATGTATATGTTAGTATTACCCCAAAACATTTCACCCGTTAAGTACTTAGGTATTGTCAAAAGTAGATATATTTTATTATAATAATTTATCCAAGAAATACCCTAAAATTATAATATTAACAGTTTTGTGCAGCGTCCATAATATATACTTATATAAACTTATGTATAAATATAGATATATTGTATTATAACTATCCCACTAAAAACTTTGTTGTTTGTAAACTAATACTGGCTTAGAAAGTTTACATACCAAATTTCATCTTTTTATGATATTAGGAAGACTCTAAGAATTTTAATGATCATCAGTGAGTCAGTGATGCAACCAGGGTTATTTAGATATAAATAGTCTAAAGTTTAATAGCTATGCAATTAAAACTTTATAATTTCAAAAAGTATACGACAATATATCCTGAAAAATTGGTTATCTGGTATTATCCAAACCCAATTTATAAGGGTTCATAAAAACGATGAAGTACTTTGAGAAAAGGTATAATATTCTGATTGTGAAGGTATAGTAATGAAATAATGTTAATTTAATAACGAACTAGGAATATTGACAATCTTCAATACTAGAATATGAATTCCTATGTAAATAAATATGCAATCAAAATACATACAGACAGACATAATAAGAATAATGTGGTGGAAAGGTATCTACAACATCAAATTCAGCAAAAAATAACCTAATCAACTTAAAAATTTGTTAACAGAAGAAGGCCTTTTACTCAAAATGTAAGACAGTGAAATTAGTAACACCCAGCGGTTTTATAAATGCATTATTTTTGCACATAAAACTTACGCTTTCTCTGCAGCTCTGCAGTGTTCTTGAGCTTCGTTTATTTTAGACGACATTTTATATCACCACAATTTTTTTTTTGTTAAATATAATGAATAATTGATTTCTAAAGTCTTTTAGTGAAGATGAGAAGTAATTTATGAATTCTAAAACACTATTTTCATAAATAAAATTATACAATGGCGTTCTATCCAACCAATCGAATCAGTGATCGCGGCGCTAGTATGTCTGCTGCAAATGTCACTTAACTGTCATTGTCAAAACCTTGTTTTATAAATTCTGCGATAGAAAAGCAAAAGATATTAAATACATACAACCTCAAAACTGCGTTTTCTTATTTTACGTTTTACTTTAGAATGCATAAAACACGAAATGTATCCAATAAGTTTTCTGAGTAAGTTTCTGTATTCAACAAATTACACCATTACACATTTGTTTGAGTTGACCGAAGTCGTCCATTTACTAACTATAACTTAGGTCTACTTGCAGTACCGCTAGAAAATTTTTAAAACGTCAACATCGATTTTACATAATTGTAAACACGAAATCTAGTTTAGCGAAATTGCTGCAAGTGGACCTTAGTTATATTTGATACATGGATGAATGACCCAATCCCCTACGTACATATTATAATACATATAAACCTTCCTCTTGAATCACTCTTATCTATTAAAAAAGACGCAGTAAAATCCGTTGCGTAGTTTTAAAGATCTAAGCATACATAGGGACAGACAGCGGGAAGCGACTTTGCTTTATACTATGAAGTGATTCATTTAAATTACTTGCTTTAAAGGGCCAAATTGATCTATATTAAATGCAAAATGTATTTAAGGTACTTAATTGAATTAGGTTGAATGTTATATTGCTGAAAATCGCTTCGAAAATAAGCTATTATGCCTCGTAAAAAGTATAGGATAAAAAATGGTTATAGTGGGTTATCCCTAAGAGATAGACATATACCATCGCAAACTTTTTTGTAGACATTTTTAAGGTGTACAATACTGTAGAACATTATTATGATCTATATCGTAGGATTCAGCCAGCGATTGCAAAGTAAGCGCAAAAAAATGAGTTTATTTACGACCTTACATTAAAAACCTCTAAAATTATCAGTGCTTCTCTACCATATTTTGCATATATTATACATGTAAACCTTCCTCTTGAGTCACTCTATGTATTAAAAAAAAGCGCAGCAACATCCGTTGCGTAGTTTTAAAGATCTAGGCATACATAGAGACAGACAGCGGGAAGCGACTTTGCTTTATACTTAGACCATTAAACCACAGGACTAGCCTCGCAGGATCTTTCCCTTCTGTCAAGGTATAAGATCAAATGATCCAGTGCGTCTTAAGGGGCCCATATACGGAACGATTGATCTGTACGATCCGTCGTTTCAGACCGATCGAAACGATGGATCGACAGTGTATGTCAAGATCGTTAACGATTTACTTAATCGCAGACGATATCGGAGATCGCAACAAAAACCCATGCAATCATGAATATCGTCAACGATCGATCGTCAGTGTCCCATATACGATACGATTGATTTGTACCATCCGTCGTTTCAGACCGATCGAAACGATGGATCGACAGTGTATGTCAAGATCGTTAACGATTTACTTAATCGAAGACAATATCGCAAATCGCAACCAAATCCCATGCAATCATGAATATCGTTCATGCAATCATGAGTTCGTTTTCCATTTTAGAGGGCAAGTATTGAATTATTTGAGTACGTCTTTATCCTACCGTTTGAAACATGTAAATGGTAGATCGTTACGATCAATCGTTTCGTGTATGTAGTGGCATTTCTGAACGATCGATCGTTGACGATTTCCTTCAGATCGATCGCAACGACGAATCGTTCCGAATATGGGGCCTTTTAGACCATTAAACCACAGGACTAGCCTCGCAAGATCTTTCCCCTCTGTCAAGGTATAAGATCAAATGATCCAGTGCGTTCATAAAAACTACTTACAATCGATAGATTTCCACAGTGTGAGAATCGTTATCGTAGTGAACACAGCCCGTGTCTCCTCGCAAAAAAATGCTAACCTGTGCTGTTATAACGTGCAAAAAAAGATCAAACACCTCTAATTTACAAAAAAACGGGATATCATTTCACATGTGTTTTTTCTATATTTTAGTGCTTTTTTTCAATTAAAAATGAATTTTACAATAATCGAGAATAGAAACTTGCAAGTAATCGAGTGAGATCCAATTCGAATATGTGCCGAAACATATTCATATGATTTTATACCTTATAATTCAAAAATAGAGTCCATTTTAGTGACCTTAACTATTTATTGGCGAATATAGTCTCTATTGCATGCTCCCCACGAGACTTGCAAACGCACTCCCCACGAGACTACATTTTTTAATAGGCTAGTTGACCCTTTTTGGAAAAAGGTTTTAAATGGTTAATAAATGTTCTATTAGACCGAAAAAAAAATGTATTGTATTTTTTTTAAACCTAGAAAGCTACAAATCTTTAATTTTAAAATAGACTTTTCATGGACATACAAAAACGCTGTCGGCCATTTTAGTCTATAGATTGTCTATGCTATGACGTGAACTGTGGTAAACAAAAACTCGTAAACACGTAGAAAATTACTTTTAACTGAGTTTATAATAAAAAAAACATGATTTCTAATAAATACCACGAAAAATAAAGTAATTATCATTACTGTATTGTACGAGAATATAAAAACACATCCTTGAAGACTCCAGGAAAGTTGTGGATTAAAGTGCCGAAAGAAATTAACCTACGCAACTTTATTACACTTATTCATATGTTATATCAGTTTTATGTTTATTACTACATTGTAATACTAAATGCACTGAACTTACATAGATGCCTTGTCGTTTCTCTGCTCCGCAGAGCAGAAATCGAGGTTTAGTGCAACAAATTCACCAACCATCAATGCGTCAATTCTTGGCAGATTTGTGCTTTCTGCTTTCACAAAGCCGGCATCCATAATTTGTTTAGTAAAAAAAAACTAAGTTTACTGTTTTTTTCTTTCCTAAAGTTAAAAGTGTTTTAAGATAAATTTAGTCAGACGAAAGAATCCATCTACAGTAACACGCGAATGACATTTAGTTGTTTACCACAAGAGACGTCAAAATCATGGCGAAAGTGGCGAACAGCGTTTTTAGTGTTTAAAAAATATAGACTAAAAAATATTTTTTAAAATTAAATTTCTACAGCAATCTTCTGCTTTTATGAAGTGAAATCGATATATTAAGGTTCCTTAGACTAAACACTTTAAGAAATAAACATTTATTTCATACAATTCGACATGAGTAAACTAGCCTATTATCAAGTTTCGACCTTAGGCCCCACATTTAAGATTCGTAATAAAAATGATATAACTTGAATTGAGTGTAGCGAGACTATTTATTTACGACTTTTAAGTGATGGGAAATAAATTTGAAAAAATAATATCGATATAATGGTTTTTTGTTTTTTTGAATACATAAGACACATTTACTCTAAATTAATACATTTAAAAAAATCAAATAGTTTGATATTAATAATACATTTCTTTTTGTTTTTAAGCATGTAATGGCCGCGTCGAAATACTTCTAGCCATTCTTAAGCAGCAAGGCAACGTCATCTCTTCGCATTGTAGGTAACCCACAATGTCAAAAGACAACTTTTACAAGTATTAAACATTTGAAAGAAGAAATTGCAATTATAGTTATAATTAATTTTTAAGTGAGGCTAATATAAGTGTGTTAAAATATGATAAGTTTTGACTCGTTTGACATAAGCTCCTAAAAGATATGAAATCATCAACAGATCAAGATCTGTATTACAATTATTCTCAGTGGTACTTGTACCACTAATCATAATAATGTTAAATAAAAATGAGTGTAGAAGATTATTTGAGTTCATGTTGTACTTTTTTCAATAAAAGTTTTAATCTAATGTCTTAAAGTATTTTTATTTCATTTTAATTTACCTCTGGCCATTTACACTTACAGTAGCAATATTTTTTTATTGTCGAAATCGTTAAATTTAACACATTTCTGGACAAGACTGTACCTATGTTGAAACGACTGTTTGACAGATAAAAAGAAATGAACATGTATACATACAACAAATGACATTTAAGATTTTCTCCCACGAAACGATTTTCTAAGTTTAGCAAAAATTATAAGTGATTGGGTAATTGTGCCAGTGAGAGTATTAAAAGACCCGGAGTAATTTTTTCCGTTGTCATATTTTTATTGTATAAAATAATCTTTGAGAACAAGGAAAACTAACGATATTGTTATTTAAAGAAAACTAAAATATCGATACCGAACTTTCCCTAGTTACGATTACTTGTGATTGTCATTAGTGTGCGTAGGTGAAAAAATATATTTGTAGGCGATTGTAACAATACAAATAACTAAGGCTGTGTGAGTTTATTTTAATGTAGTGGTTTACCTCGTCCCCCTCAAAAAGTGACAGACTTTGCACTGAGTAAAATTAGGCGCGTACTTAGTCCAGTGGTTTAATGGTCTAAGGGAGCCCTTTAGACCATTAAACCACTTTAATGGTCTAAGGCTTTATACGATGTAGTGATGATACGTCATACAATTCAACTGAAATCGATCTTAGTATGTAAATTTCCTTAGGTGCCGTTTTTTTTTCAAAAGAGTGCATTTCATGATACATGATCAATACCTACCGCAGTAGTTTTAGTAGACTTGGCTTTTCCTTTAAAGTAAAGACACATACAACTTTTCAGCGAAATAGCTTACTGTTATGATTATCTGAACCTTGGCTGGTAATATAGGCAAACCGACCTCCAGATAAAGAATTTCCGAGACTAACCGTGAACATTATACAAAGCGGCCATTTGGAAAAAACGGACGCGAGTAAAATGTAACAAAATCTTAAAAAATTAAGTTTGAAGTTATGCTTGCGGTACTTTACCGCAAAATTATACTATAACTGTACCCTTAGTACGAGTATGATTTCACGAAAACTATAATAATGTAAATTATGTTTCTATGTCCATTTTGGTGAAAAGTAACCAAATATACTTAAAATTTAAGAAGACGC